ACCATAAATCGGGTATAGGTACATAGAATGGGGGTAGGAAAGTAATGACTTTATTACCCAGGGCGCTAGGCCCAAAATAGTACGTACAAGCCCGAGGTACAGGCCTAGAATAGCGGCCCAAATACAAAGAACAAGGCCCACGGGGTGGGCTATAGCTAACTATGCTATTGATAGGAATCGAACCCAGGTGGCTGGATTGAGAGTACAGACTAAAGACCGCTAGACCGCACTGCTTGTCGTGTCTCCGTTGCCCTTAGCCAAAGATCCAGGGCCCCTATTTATTGCAGGCCCCCCATCTTCCGTTCGCTGTCCACGTGTCCCACCAATCAGACGTCACTCCCTCGTTTGTCGCACAGCAGTCCGCACGTTCGCCGCGAACCGACGTCCCCACCTTCTTCTCCCGCGCACCCCGGGCAGTCACACCTGCCCGGTGCCGGCTACCACACGCCGTCGCACCCCCCGCGCCCCCCGTGATGGGGCGCTAGGCCCGCGCAACAGGCGTGCTACCGGGCCGACGACTTCCCCCGGCCATGGGCGCTGGCCGGCCACCGCCGTCGTGGCCTCGCACTGGGGCGCTACGCCCGCGCCCAACCGCGCATGGTGGCACTATTGGAAATTATGAAATTTCCGACCACCTGAAAGTGATCTTAAATCAACTCGAAAGTCTTGTTCCGACCACTTTTGGTATCCGGAAAAACCTTTGTTGCTATTTCCGACCACTTTTTGGTATCAACTTTATTTAAGATCACTTTGAGGTGGTCGGAAATGTCATAATTTCCAGTAGTGTGCGCTGGTCGCACCACCGGGCACGTGAGCCGCACCAAGCAAGGGCGCACCGCCCGAGCCGATTCTGCCCGTCGCTAGCGAGAGCTGCCGTCGGCGACGCTTCCTGACGACACCCCAAACCACTTCTCATTGACCAGCCCCCTCTTCCGGTCCATGCTCTTTACCCCGGCCCACCATGCATGCTTGTCTTCCCAGCCCAACAAGATTTGGACCAACCTCCTTCTTTCACCATCACCACTTGGACCAATACTTTCGCAATAATTATATATACACACACGTAATTGAAAATTAAAAATAATAATAATAAATCAGTTGATGAGCTTTGAACACCGTCAGCCGCCTTTTGACTACTTATCTAGGTAATCAATAAAAAGGGCATGGCATCCCATGCCCGTACATTGTTTGTCCCATGAAATTTTTTTATTTTTTTATTTTTTTATTTTTTGACAACCAAGCCTGCCGCCTAATCTATGGTGGGGTTACGGTAATCCGGAATCCCTCTATTTTTTTATTATTTTTTTTTTTTGGGTTTTGTTTTTAGTTTTGTGTGTATGACTGATTGACTGTATGTGTGTATAGAGAGAGCAGTAAGTTACCAACTTAACCTCCTCCGACAACTAATTGAGGTTGTTTATTTATTAGTTGTGTGGCCTTGATTTTTCAGTTAATTTAATTTATTTTCTTTTATACTTGTTGGTGTTTTTTTTTAACATTATACTTGTTGGTGTTAATTCAACTAATCGATATAAATGAAATAATTAATATGAATCCATACAAAATATTAAAAAAGAACACCAAATAAGTTGTGTGAAACCATCTCGTGAAACTTAGTCCATGAGACGGATATGAAAATGCAATTGTTATATCATGAGTCAAGGTTCATCTTGTATTGTGGACTCTTGTTTAAAAATTATGTGTGTAGTTGATATATTATGTACTTGCAGTTAATCGTTTATGTGCATGCAATTAATTGTAGGTACATAACATGTTAACTACAGACACATAAAATGGTAACTACAAACACATAAACTGTTAACTGTATGTACAAAATATGTTAACTACAGACACATAATATTTTATTAACATATTATGTGTCTGTAGGAGTTAATACCCAATTTAGAGTTCAACTATAGTGGTTTTTTTAGATTTAGTCCTAAACGTATTTTTGTGCTCAATTGAATGCTCGACTTTGATGATTTTATCTAATTGAGTCATTGGTTGCTAGAATCAATGATTAAATCAAGAAAAATTACTATAGTCGAGAGACTAAATTGGGTATTAACCACTATAGTCGAGGACTAATTTCGGTAAAACCACTATAGTCGCAGATTAAACTGGATATTAATAGAGGAGAAATTACTAAGGTACAGTTACAGAGGACCCAATTAGGTAAAAGTGTAAAACCATTGAAGTTGATGACCCATTTAAGCACCAAAAAAAAAAGATGTTTAAGACTAAATCGAGTAAAATTATTATAGTCGATGACTAAATTGGGTATTAACTCGTGTTTATAGTTAACATATATTGTACCTACCGTTAACAGTTTACGTGTCTGTAGTTAACATGTTATGTGCCTTCAATTTATTTATATGCACATAAATTATTAATGGCATGTACAAAATATGTAAACTACAGACACATAGCCTGAAGATTATTTTGGACCAAAATCCATAATACAAGGTAGACCCATAATTTGCCCTAAAAATGAGGTTTGACAATAGAGAATATGTTTAATTTTCAAAAGTATTATCTTTTACCCTAAAGTAACAAGTTACCATTTAAATTTGCCATGTTTTGATTCTAACAAGTAGAACTTCTCCCATTCTAGAAGAAGTTGATATCAGGATTTGAATGTCACTTTTTATATGAAATTTTAGATGATGTTTTTTTTTCAAAATTTTATATTTTAATAAATGTTATGTTCTTATTTTTATTTATATTTATGTAAAAAGAAAATCTAAATTTAATTATTACACAAAATTCTAATCTTTTCAAGACGGATCGTGAAATTAGGGAACCAGTTTCTAACATGGGACAACAACACTAATTATCATCAATAGTTATGCTGTGCAACCGAATGTACTATGCGCATGGTGCATACGGTTCAAAACGATATCGTTTTGATTAAAAACGCGCGTCTCACTTTAAAAAAAAAATCAGGTTCGACTCTCAGCAATAGCATTATTGTGGATATATAATTATGAAATTGTGGATATATAGTTATGAAATTGTGGTTATATAGTTATGAATTTATGGATATTTAGTTCATTCATTGTGGATATTTAGTTCAATCATATATTGTGGATATTTAGTTCATTCATTGTGGATTTTTACTTCATTCATTCATTTATTGTGGATTTTTACTTCATTCATTCATTCATTGTGAATTTTTACTTCATTCATTCACTGTGGATATATAGTTATGAAATTGTGGATATATAGTTATGAAATTGTGGTTATATAGTTATGAATTTATGGATATTTAGTTCATTCATTGTGGATATTTAGTTCAATCATATATTGTGGATATTTAGTTCATTCATTGTGGATTTTTACTTCATTCATTCATTCATTGTGGATTTTTACTTCATTCATTCACTGTGGATATATAGTTATGAAATTGTGGATCTATAGTTATGAAATTGTGGTTATATAGTTATGAATTTCTGGATATATAAAAATGCTATTGCCGGGAATTGAACCTGATTTCTTCTTTAAGTGGGACGCGCGTTTTTTTAACCAAAACGGCGCCGTTTTGCAACTGTATGCACCTTGCAAGGTGCATTCGGTTGCACAGCATAATTTGCGAATTATCATGGGTCTAGATTCTGGTTCATGATATGGACCAAGGCCCTTCATGCTAGTATGCTACTAACACGTACGTTGTACAAAGAGGCTTAAGCAACGCATGAAGATAACCAGCTTGATTGGCATGAGTGACGGTGCACTCTTATTCCTTAAGAGAGGACGGGAGTTTGAATTTTCTCTTGTATGAAGAAACCAATATGGGCAGCACAATGTCCCTTAATTGGGCCAGCTCGGTGCGAACGAAAATTAGTCTGAGTATGGTACGGGTTTAAAAGTGCCCAATAGTTATGCTGTGCAACCGTGTGCACCATGCATGGTGCACACGGTTGCAAAACGACGTCGTTTTGACTAAAAACGCACGTCTCATTTAAAAAAAAATTAGTTTCGATTCCCCTCAACAGCATTATGTTGTTCATTCATTGTGGATATTTAGTTCATTCATTCTGGATTTTTAGTTATTCATTCACTGTGGATATTTAGTTCATTCATTGTGGATTTATAATTCAAATTATGCACACAAAAAATGTTATTGCCAGGAATCGAACCTGATTTTTTTTAAGTGGGACGCGCGTTTTTAGTCAAAACGACGTCGTTTTTGCAACCGTGTGCACCATGATTTGCGAAAAGTGCCTCCTACAATTAATGTCTGCTCATGACACTTTGTATTACCCAATACTACTTACATGCATTCATATTTTAATTTTGAGAGGGAGTCCATGTAGTATTTTCCTTTTTGAAATTAAAAGAGTTAGTACCATCTCAGATATATAATGGGGTGGATTAGGGGCTGGGGGGCGACTGCCCTCATCACCTTCTGTAGATCCGCCTATGCATGTCTTGGCTTTGATTACACTTGTTAGGATCAAGCGCTTACCACTACATCAAAATTTATAGGTCTGAGCAAAAGCACAATTTTATTTCCTTATATATTGTCACCACATTTTTATAAATAGGGTGCTGAACTTGACCCTTCACCGACCTCAGCTCCACTGCAACAATCTTTCAAACTACCAATTGCTGGACTTGACCCTTCACCAGCTTCAGCCTAACATGTTTCTTAATATCGACTTCACACTTATTTATTAATTTTGAATTATATTGAAATGTGTTTGTTTTTGGTTTAGGTACATATAGTAATCAAATGTACTTGACTACTTTCGTGCACAATAATACATTTTGTGTAAATTAAAGGAAGTAAAATGCAAATTTATTTGAGAATTAAAATTTTACCCGTAGCACAACACACAAAAAGGTGCTATGTAATATCATACATAACGAGATAAGAAATTTCATAAGTGGATCGAACAATATTAAATGATTGAATTGATAAATATTACATAAAATAGAAATTACGAATACATCTCGGATGATGAAATGATAATGTTTAATACTTTAATACACCCTCGTAAATATTATTTAAACTTAAATGTTTAAATAACCCACGAAAAAAAAACACACACACACAAAATACTACATAGAGCTAATCAAATGGTGCTCTATAATTGCCTTAATAGAATGAGGAAAAATAAATAATAATAAGACAAATATGACACTCACATACATACACACCTTATAATATAATAATCAATTTAAATTTGTAACTGGCCTTGGCCTACTGATGGTGGGTAGCTATCAGTAGGTCATGATATTATTATGTGTTAGTGGTGGTGACCAAAAATAAATTCCCTTTTTGGCCATCACTAAATTTGATGTGCATTCAATAATAGCTCTTGCTCTAGCTAGGGATCCCAAAGAGAATCATCTACTTGGTCTTCATTGTCACTCATCATCTCATAGTCATTACTAAAAAACATAGACTCATTTGTCATACCGTCCCAAACCTTTGGTGAACCAAGTGGAATGTCATTTATGGCTTGAATTTGGCTCTGCGATAGTCCAATTGTGACGGGAGGAACATTACTCATACCAGAACCCGATGCCCCTTGTGTATCTCTCATGGACTGCTCAAGTTGAGAAGCAGCTTCTTGACCTGCCAAGCGGATATCCTCGGGGCTTGAGCTGGCTGGCCTCGGGAGGGCTTGTGCCCGACTCGGAAAATTCAGTCGAGCCAAAGGTCCCCTCAAGTGTAATGCAGCTGCATCGTAAGCCACTGCTGCCATTTCAGCCGTGGTGAAACTCCCTAACCAAATTCTGGTTTTCTTTCCAGGCTCGCGGATCTCCGACACCCATTTGCCCCACCTCCGCTTCCTAACTCCCCGGTAGGGCGACGACATGGCACCTCCGCCGGCCCTACCGCCAGTGTTACCATCCATGTAGTGTTTAATTAGTTTGTGCTAATGCTACACACTTGAGCTTAGGAAGCATGCAGTTGGAACATAATCTAGGTGCTAATTGTACTTCAATTCCCCTAACAGCCAGAAATCATTTGTATATATAGATGACAAATAAATTAAAGTCATCTTAAGCATGATTGTCACTTGTACAATAATTATTCGTTGAATGGAGCTTCCTGGTAGTTTCAAATCAGAGAGATATGGAAAACCCAAAATATATGTTTCGGATAGGACAGTATTATATTTTTCTCCTACCTAGGTTTGTGTGCGTTACAGTTTTGCATCAACAATTCAACATTCATCCATTAGGTGTTAAGCACGTTTATAAACTTTTTTTTTTATTCTTTATTTTCCTATTTATTTTTTATCCCTCTCTCAAATTGTCTTCTCTGAAGACTGATTATAAAATTTAAAAATATATATATATATTTCTTAATAAATTTATTTTTAACGTTCACCTCTGATTTGATATAAACATTCTTTATATTCATAGATTCTTTATGAATTGTCGAACCCCATCACAAGTTAGAAATTAATCTATTAAATAATTAAATACAAAAAAAAAAAATCAATTGGCTAGTGTCACATTATTAATGACCTTGTGGTTTAGTGACGTGAAGTGACTCTCCTAAATATGAGGTCATGGGTTTAAGCCTCACCCAGTAGGAGCGGTATTGACTCTTTGTGCTTCAATAGGTTGAAAAAATAATTATGAACAGATACTACATTGTACAGAGATAGTAGTACTAAAAAAAATAAATTTAGGTAAAAAAGTGACTGAAACACTTCTTTCAACTGTGATTAGATTATATTAAAACACATGTATGTGTCAATCCTGAAAGATTACTATTCTTGGGACAGTGTCTATGCCGGTTACTTAGTTTAACCTAAGTTTTTTGAGGTATCTCCTCTAGTCAAAGTTTTTAAAAAAGATTTAAAATAAAAATAATACAAAAGTTCATCCAATCATATCTGATCTAGTTGAAATTAATGTTTTCAATTCACATTAAAATTTTGTGGATAGAGAATAAGAGACAGTATATTAAAATGATTTTTCAAAAAAATCTGACAATAAAATAAACTTTAATTAATTAAAATTTAATAAGGTCATTATCAAAAAACAAGGGCATTGTATTAAAAAGAACAAATAGTAGAAGACCTATTTTCTGTACTGTTACAAGACGCGGTTTGACCATTGAGATGAGGTGTCAGGTTTTCAACACCATACAATGTAAGGACACCCATACCATCAACCTTTGTACTATAATATATATTAATATTAATATGATATCCAACATACTACTTAGCCAAAGGTGCTGAGAATTTATTTGGTCGAAATTCACTGTATTGTCTTTTTCGCTTTTATTTTTTGTACACTCATTCTTTTCAAAATCATTGTCGGACTCAATTTAAGACAAACTATTCAATGCTTATTCTACTTTAATTTATAATACCATCTAATTCATTTATAATAACTTATTGAACTTTTTTAAATGACCGAAACTCGTAGTCACTATTTGAGGGTGTGCACGGAATAAATCCTATTTTGTAATTATAACTGAAAAATTAAAGGAACACAAGAAAGCAAATCAACATAAGTTATCCATAACTGATTGGCTTAAACCAAGAATGACAATAGACCGCTCTAACTGAGAGTTGAACTTGAATGAGTGTTAGAGATTAAGTGATTAACAATGGGTTGTTTAGTCTAAGTAAATAGTTAAAGAATTTTATAATAATAAGATAATATTTTAGTCGGTTAAAGGTTTTTCTTTTTGTATTAATACTACAATGTGAAGGCTTTCAAGATCAGTTTAAAATTTGATAGTTTTAGTATAATTGTACAAGATTTTTCCCTTATTGAGTGCTAAGACTATGACCCTGTTTGGTAAAAAATTGGCCTATAGGTCAATTTTGGCTTATTTGACAACTATTAATTGTTTGATTTAGTTAAAATATCAATATAAATGTTTGGTTAATTAGCTTTTTGTAACTCCAAAAGGCTAAAATTCAAAAAGTTACTCCAAGCAACTTTTTCAATTAGCTTTTTATGAAAAGAAATTATACCAAACAGCTATCAGCTAACAGCTAATTTACCAAACACTTTTCTACAATCAGCTAATGTTACCAACTATTTATACCCTCTAATTAACACAATCAGCTAACAGCTAACAGCTAACAGCTATCAGCTAACAGCCATTTTACCAAACAGGGTTTATATATTTTTACATTTTGATTATTTATCATATAATTTCGACCAATGAGAGAGAGAGACTAGTAGCATGTTATAGCTTATATGCTTAATATGCTAATGCCCACTACCACATACTGAGTCTTTGATCGATCTTCATTACATTCTTATTATTCCCAAAATGTTGAATCCCCAACCCCAAAGGTCCTCACATTCCAGCCCGCCAGAACATCTGAAGAATGTAAATTATGGTAACTCACCTGAACACATATGTTAGATCTTTACTTACTACATACAAGGAACCTCCATCACTTTAAGAGGTTGCTCTCACTCTGCCGCTGGTAAGACTTAATTCCGGGTCATTGTTTTCAAACTTCACCCTTATGACCAACTGAGTTGTCCATACGAGCATCTTCATTACATTCTTGATAGGCGAGTACGTGTTCTTGATTAAAATATTTTTGTATATTTATCATTTGGTCGGGTTGTATTAACCTTGAACCTTCATTGCATATATAATAAACTGCTTATTTATATTTGGGTCATTGTAACGTACACAAGCAAATATTATAAATCCAATAATAACTAATTATGAAATCATTTTTTTAACCATTTTTTTTAGACAAACTATCTTATGTGGTGGAAAGAAGCCATGAAATTAGAGAGAGATGCTACTCTTAATTTGGACTTATGCACGATTTTTGATAAAGTTTTAGAAAAGACCACCACATATTGCGTCTAGCGCACGAACCACACCAACATGCCTATGACAATTGCTGCATAGTTCTTTAATCCCTTTCTCTTTTTTGATTGGTCTGACAAAACACCCAGCTTTAAATTTTACTAAAGCAATTGCTCTTATTACATCATTATTATCATATAAATTGATCTATTTATCATTTTATTTTATCATTGTCATATCATCCTTCATGCTTTTTACTTTTCTCGACCATATATAACCCTTTTTGTCCATCCAATGCATAAACTTTTCCCCAGTTAAACCCACCCTCCTATGTCACACCAAAAGGATTAAGGGCTTGTTTGGTTATCAACCGTTAGAGGTTAGCGGTTATCAGATAGTGAATTATATTAGAGGATTTAATCAGCAAATTGTATTAGCGGTTTGTAAAAAAACGTTTGGTAAAACTAGCTGTTTAAATTAGCGGTTAACATGTAAAATGACCATAAGGATATACATTATAATTTATAATAATAATAAATTTAATATTTTTTTTTATAAATAGGGGCGTTTTGGAGAAAATTTAATTTTTGCCAAAACGTCATCAACTGCAAACCGCTGCCTAACCAAATATTTTTTTTTTACCAAAAATGACAAATCCGCCAATAACCAAACATGGCCTAAAAAGCTTACCATCTTTGCTCACTACAACAACGAAACCAAAAAAAAAAAAAAAAAAAAAAAAAAGGAAAAAAAAAATGACAAAATCTGCCGACGAATTCAAGTACATCCCCCTTATCCAAAAATTAAAATTCATAAGCCCTCCCCCACCAATAAAATAAAAGCTTTCGTGAGAAAAAAAAAAAAAACAAAACAAAATCAAAATTAATTTTGGGATCATTATTCTGTAATTTAGTCAGTATTGTAAAAATTGTGCCTAAACGTCACCCAACATTTTAATTAGCGTCAAATCGGCCGTGTCGGCCAAATTAACTCATTTGACTCGGCCGAGTTATTTTTGGTTTTAATTTTTATTTTTATTTTTTAAAAATTCTAGAGCCATGTGTAATAATTTTTTATTTGTGTGTGTAATATATATATATATATATATATATATATATATATATATATATATATATATACATACATATATATATATATATATACATACATATATATATATATACATACATATATATATATACATACATATATATATATATATACATATATATATATATATATATATATATGTATGTATGTATATATATATATATGTATGTATATGTATGTATATATATATATATATATATATATATATATATATATATATATATATATATATATATATATATATATATATATATATATATATATATATATATATATGGCGTCCCACTAGCGCCTAGTGTATTTTGCAATCTTGAATTTAGTATCAAAATTTACAATTTTGGTATAATTTCAATTAATTTTTTTTTATATCCAAAATATTAAACTCAACTTGATAATATACTTGTCATACATTAGATACAATGGCCGATGCCAAGCACTTTGTGCTTAGATGGCATGTAGTGACTCTTCCATATGGAAGGTCATGAGATCGGGTCTTAGTGAATGCGGTGTTGACTCTTTATGATTCAACAGGTTAGATTGAAAAAGTATAGATGAACAGATACTACAATGTATGGTCGATATCTTATGAAACAAGCACAAACACTTGCCGTATATACGTTAGGCGCCAATTTTTTATTTTTCATTTATTTATTTTTATTTTTTTTAAGAAAAATAAATTTAAAAAATTAATAAAAATTATAAAATTCACTAATAAAACATAAGGTTCCTCTATTCTTTTCTTATAAATTATTTACGTAAGTGGTTGTAAAATCGTTCAAAATATTGTTGAAACAATCTAAATATATAAAAATAATAATTAAAATTAAGAGCAAAAGAAGCATTTTTTGGAAAAATTAGAGGTCCAATTGTCATTGAATATAAATAAATTGAGAATTTTATGAAATCAATCCGTACATAAGTACATTATAATATTGGAAGTCAATTCAAGTTAATTCTCTCTAGGGTTTACTAGGTTTTTCCGCTCTCTCTCTTGTGTTTCAAGGTTTTCCGGCGTAAATCGGGCGTTCTCTCCGGGTATTGTGTCGGCGTAACAGTGATGGAAGGGACGGAGCAAGAAGCGGCGACGCAGCAGGCGGTGGCGGCGTTGGGCCGCCGATGGGCGGACGTGGCCTTGGATGACGAAGAAGACGATGCTTTTGTGCCGGTGGTGGAGGAAGGCGCTGAACGGCCGGCCGAGGTAGCACCAACGTGGCGGCTAATTGGTAGGTTCCTAACTACCAAGCTTGTGAAGGCGGAGTACATGAGTCAGGTCATGGCTTCTGTTTGGCAGCCGGTGAAGGGGGTTCGGGTCTCAGAATTGCAACCGGGGCTGTTTCTCTTTGTGTTCTTCCATGACACGGACATTCAGTTGGTTCTAGATGGTGGTCCACGGTCCTTTGAGAACCACACTTTTGTTTGCAAACAAATCCACGATGGTGAGATACCGGTCTCAGTACCGCTGGACTCGGTTGATATGTGGATACAGGTGCATGACTTGCCGCTGGGCTATACCTCGGATCTTATTTTGGAGCAGGTAGGAAATTTTTTGGGTGTTTTTATCAAGATTGATGATAGGTTCGCGAATGCACCTTGGAAGACGTTCTACCGGATTAGGGTTTCAATCTCGGTCTTGAGACCGCTAAAACGGCGTATGAAACTAATGAAGAGGGATAAAATGACTTGTTGGGTAAATTTCAAATATGAAAGATTACATAACTTTTGTTACTTCTGTGGTATGATGGGGCATCTTCATAAGTACTGTTTGAAGGCGTGGGATGCAAAACTACCGGTAGAGCAATATCCGTATGATGAGAGTTTACGTGCTGGTTTTAGAAAAGGACCACGAAAAGTGGGTGCTTCGTGGCTACTTGATATGAATGGCAACCCGATGACAGGAACACAGCCAGATATGGTACATAGGCCACGGGTTGATGGGCAGGAAGGGGGGCCAACTGGGCTTTCACGTGACCAGGTGGAAGGTGATGTGGTCACGGCTGCGAGCAAGAGAAGAAGGGCTGAGGCCAATGATGGGGGTGATGCGAGAGTTGGTGGAGATGTGATTATGACAGAGATCCAAAAAAACTTATCCATGGCGGGTTCTGGTTCCCAGACCCGCCCGTCATTATGAGTACTATCAGCTGGAACTGTCGTGGCTTGGGCAATCCACGAACAGTTCGAGAATTAACGGACCTTGCGTCCAAAAAGAAGCCTGATTTTATTTTTCTTATGGAAACAATGGTGCAACGAGTACATGCTGAAAGAATTCGTGTCACCCTTGGTTTTGAGGGACTTTTTTATGTTGATCCGACACCGCAGGGTGGTGGTGGTTTAGCACTGTTATGGCAGAAGAATAATACCGCAAGTTTATTGAGTTACTCTAGAAATCACATTGATATTGAAGTAAAAATGTCTAGCTTTCCGAGGTGGAGAATGACATGTTATTATGGCTACTCTCAGCGTCATAGGAGGGCAGAAGCATGGGAGTTGATAAAGTCCTTTGCATCCCGGTCCACCTTACCATGGGTTATGATTGGGGATTTTAATGATCTCCTATTCCAGCACGAGAAGAGAGGAGGTAATCCACACCCTAATAATCTCCTACGCGGCTTTGGGGAGACTATTGACCAGTGTGGCTTGACTCAGTTGCAGATGGAGGGTTACCGGTTTACTTGGGAAAAAGGAAAGGGTACGCCAGCTTGCATTGAAGAACGATTGGATAAGGTATTAGCATCTAATGATTGGCGTGACATTGTGCCTGGGGCTAGGGTGATTAATAATCTAATGAGGAGGTCGGATCATTCTGCATTATTTTTGAGTGTCTATGGACTGTTACAAAACGGAGGAGGAGGAAGGAGAGGGTTTCGGTTTGAAATGGCCTGGTTGTATGATGATGGATGCAGGAATGTGGTGGAGAAGTCGTGGGAGGAGGGGAGGAGTGAAGGGATCCAGGACTGTATAACACACTGTGGGAACAAATTGTCAAGATGGGGCGGAGACCGGTACCATAAATTTGGTGAAAAAATCAGACACCTGCGGAAGCAACAGTTACATCTTAGGGGTCGTACTGATTTGGCATCCTTGAATGAATTCCAGCGCCTGGAAGGAATTCTGAGTAATATGGAGATCCAAGAAGATGCTTACTGGAGGCAAAGGGCAAAACAACACTGATTAAGGAATGCGGATGCTAATACGAAATTCTATCACAGGTACGCCTCTCATCGTAAGAAGAAAAATACTATTTATAAACTTATGAATGATAGTGGGGATTGGGTGGAAGGTGATGCTATGAGTGCAGTTATTTTGGATTATTTTAGCCATATATTTTCTTCCTGTAACCCGTTGAATGGTGACAATCTGTTTTCTGGAGTATCCCCGGGTAACCCAGGATCAAAATGAGTCATTATTACGACCCTTTGAGATATTTGAGGTTAAAGATGCTCTATTTGCGAGGCCCCTGACAAAGCACCTGGACCAGATGGTATGAACCCAGGATTTTATCAACAATTCTGGGATATAGTTGGTAGTGATGTTGCGGCATTTATAGTGGATTGCCTAAACAACCGTGTTTTGCCCCCCAATTTGAATGATACAGATGTGGTACTCATCCCCAAGAAGAAAACCCCTCAAGTGGTAGCAGATTTTCGCCCGATAGCATTAAGCAATGTAATATACAGGATAATGGCTAAGATGATTACCCAGAGAATGAAGCCGTTAATGGGAGATTTAATTTCTGCATCCTAGAGTGCTTTTATACCAGACAGGCTGATTACTGATAATATTCTTGTAGCTGCGGAAGTAGGGCACTACCTGAATAGAAAACAATGCGGGGCAGTAGGATGGAGTGCACTCAAGCTGGATATGGCCAAAGCTTATGACCGCATGGAATGGCCCTTCCTCCGTGGGATGTTGTTAGCTTTGGGCTTTGATGATAGATGGGTTGGGTTACTTATGTTGTGTGTGACCACTGTGTCG